TCAAGGTATCTTTAGGACCACAGGAAAATAATTAAAACAGGGCCTCGAACACTCTCAAGGTTTATGTGACTGAACATGAACATCTTCCTGTGCATTAAATCTATTTCCTGGCACTTACCTTCACAGAAGCAATGACAAAGCAATCTTTCCAGTGCAGTTTTTATGTTACTATTTCAACCTCAAAATGTTGCATCAAGTAATCTCACGTTTCAGAAAAAAACAACAACTAGAATTGTCAAATCAGGTTTCCTCTGAATGTTATGCAAACGGCTACTTACAATCCGAGGTTTGAAGGGTGGTTTGATTTTCCTTTGTTCTAGAAGAACCCAGTCAATTTCCTTGAAAAACGGATGCTGCTTAATCGCGTCTTCCCCATTCTGTGATGCCACACAGCCAAGTCGCTTATTCGGGTTTTTTGTCATGAACTACAGGGTCGGGGAGGGAGAGGAGGAAAAAGTTAAACCATGAATGGCAACCCCATTTGCAGTTCAATTACACATTACAATTGCTAAAGCCTAGTTTTTGAGACAGTCCCTTTTCGGAGGTTACTGTTTTCTGTAAGAGTAACAAGGATGCCTCTCCAAACTTCAGAGGTTCCAGACAAACTAGAAGATTCGGAGGCTCTGAAGTGTAAGTTTCCTGGAGGAAGCTCTTTCAGCTGATTGCTGAGACCTCCTAATTTTGGCTGGCTGGGAGTGTTACAGGAACAGATTCTCTTTCAGCATTTCTAGTTCCAGCTTTGCCCAAAAATACTAAAGGAAAGAAAGAAAATATAAAACCCTCCAGAGATACTTCCAAATGGATGGTCAAGGTAGCTCTTACTTTCTCTGACCTTAACTATTAATTAGGGTCTATATATTGTGCTTACTGTTGGTGGGGTTTTTTCTTTGGCATGTAGGTTGCATAATTATACACTCCTTTCACAGTGACACATGGAAAGCCCTAACCTCCTTACTCACTTCTAGGACTTTATTCCAGTCTGAGTAAGAACAGCACCTGCAGCTATGTGAATGGTAACTATTCTGTCCATACATTCAGGAAATGCATGGAGTGATCAGTACCAGCAGGCAGCTTCCCTTGAGAAACTCCACGGCATAACTTGCACCTTCCCTTTCATCTTCAGTACACTGTTAGTGGCAGGGACTGGAACTAACTGGTCTCCTCTGGTCTGATAATTTCTGAACTTGTCACTTTTAAACTCTTATTATTCCCTTCAGTAAAAAGCCGTACAACTTTGCAAAACGTTGATAGCAAACGATGGCAGTTGATAATATTTTCCCAGGTTTTGCTCTGTTCTTTCTTTCTTCTTTTACTACCAATTGCTCTACTTACTTTCTAACGCATGTGGACACAGAATCTTTGCAATTCACTTAACAAATGCTGCTCTTAATATACACCCCTCTACACTCATATCATAGAATTACCTCAAGCTTTGCTATATCTTCATATTCAGTCATTATTATAACATTTTTAAAATGTAAAAAAAGTGTAAAAATGAAACAAAACACAATAATTGTTCAGCACCTTTTTAACCTAGGTACCATGCTACACTATATATCTGTAGGAAAAAAACACAACCTTAAAATAAATCAATCGCTATAATGTCTACTCTTGCTTTAGTACTGCAGTTACTAGATAAGTAGCTACTGAAGCCCCAAAGATAGCTGCATCTAACCTCCACAGGAGAATGCCATTTCTATCATTTTAAAGTTGTAACATAGATCAGTGAGGGAATTCTCTCTGTGGTTTCTGACATATATAAGCTGCTCTGAAGACGATCCTATTTGGTCTTGTGTTCCACTGCTCCACAAGTTCTTTGCAAGTGGACAAGTTACATTTAAACTACAGGCCATATTTTCTATGGCCAGGAGAAACAAAGGTTTTGAAAGGATTACTGTGCTTTGGTGAGGTCTCTTGGAAAACCACAAAACGCATTCCTACATTCCTCTGCTTTATTTCACCTCCAGGACCAAAGCGCGCCAGCCAGGAACCAGCAGCCACACATCGTGCAGAAACAGAACACGGAAACTACAGGCTACACTTTTTGTACCACATAATCCAGGTATCAAAGAAACAAAATCTGAGCCTAGTATCTGCCATGCTCTGTCTTTGTTTTAAGCCAGAGGCATGGAAAACATCAGAACATGTCATTTTTAAGAAGCCCAGGACATGAAAACATGACTAGATAGTACAGTTGGTACTGTAATTCACAAACTTCATGAAACTTGGAAATGGATTATAGAGGAGAACAATTTTAAGAATGAGCACTTAAAGAAACAAACATAATTAACATATGCAAATATGTTGCAATAATTGCAGACTTCTGAGGTGGACATTTAATTCTATACATTTCATCCCCTGCAATGAATATTGATTTTTTTCACCTCCTATGTCTATTTCTGAAGCACCAGCTGCCATTTTCCCCGTTTATCAACAGCATCAACAATGATGTAACTGTCAGGGCAGAGACAGCTGTTAACTCTACTGCACTGATGAGACGGTTGCCAATGGAGCTGACAGCCAGAGCTGTAAGTGTTGCCTTTTTGTTTTCCCATATTAAGGCAGGAATCTCCTTTTATGAAAAGAGAAGCCTTTTAAGATCCGAGTTGCTACCGACTTAAGTGACAAAAGCTGGTTGCTGAGATAGCCATGCAACTTGGGGTCTGAAACAAGTATCACCAGGCTCCCAAAATTTTGCTTCTTGAAATAAATGGCACAGTCCAAAAACAGAGTTCTGCCTCTGCATCCAGACATATCTGTCACTTGGATACAAAAGGGACACACACTGTAGACACAACCTCTCTCCATCGCTAGCAAAGAAGCACAGAGCTAATTTCAATGCAGAATTGTTTTCCTTACCAGACAGGAAAGAATTTTAAATAGCAATTCCTGTCAATTCACAGAAACAGGACTAATAAGACCTGTGGGATCTCATGGAATAGGCAACATGCTGCCTTGTAATACTGAACTGTAAAATTACCCTTGCTAGTGTTTTGTTGGAACTAACAGGAAAATGGTTCCTCCAGAAAATGAAAAAACATTGTTACTTAATACAAGAGGATGTCTTCTTCTTAAAATTTCTTTACATGCTGTTTGAAGGAGTGTAAAAATATACAGTTTCTAAAGAATAAAACCTATGTCTTAAAGTACAATGTGAGGAAATGAAGTGTTCCAAAGTTAATCCCTTGCTAGCATTCAGCAGTCAAATACATAGACGCCTCTTTCTTTCCTCTGCTTTTCCTTTTCTTCATTTAACATGTGGACAAGAATCACATGAAAAGCCCAAGTTTCAAACCTGTTTCACACTATAGCTGCAGAGGCAGCAGGTTGATAAATATAAGGAAGTATTTCCTTTTCATGGTGTAAACTGGCACAGCTCCCATCAAATTCTGTCAATTTAGGCCAACAAAGACATCTTGCCCAATGAGGAATAACCTCTTATTATAATGCAAATCTACCTAATGGTACAACTCTCTCTTTTTAAGGTTTATAATGGCATTAAGGGTTAACTGTAGATAGGAAGACGGATTACAGCAAAATATAAACTACCATGCCTACTATCAAAACGTGGACCCAGGAAAACAGCCTCATGAAAATTTATAGCAAAGGCAGCTTTAAAAGAAATTTGAGGGTTTAACACCCATGCACTTAGATTCACAAAATCACATAGTTTATACTTGCAGCCCAATTCTGTGTCTGCATTTGCGTGTGGCTAATGAATGACATATATAGCATTAACAGACATCTCACTACGTGCACCACAAATGAGATAACACAGCAAGGCTCTCACTGTTGGATCTGTTTCTCCCTTTCCCCTGTAAAACAAGCATCTTCCCTGAATAGTTACAGTGGTTCTCATACTATACACTTTTAATCAAGGGTTATCAGTTAACTTTTCCTCTTCAACAGATGTTTCCACGATTCAGAATAATAAAAGTCTCAGTTAACACAGGCTCATTGGAGGAGCCTGTGGATGGAAAACGAACAGATCTTACAGGCTGTGAAACCAAAGCACGACAGAAAATCTCCCAGACTCCAGTGAAATTCAGATGCAGATGTGAACATTGACAACAACACTTTGTCTACAATATGCAAAAATAAACCCTGAACTGTGGATATCAGCCTGAATTCTGCAGCTCAAGTCCATATGTTTTTTTTTGAACTGAAAATAATTGAAGAGTCTGGGAACAAAAGCCGGTAGCATGAAAGGATCATGTCAGCTAATAAAAAGTCATCAGAGAGGTATTTGGGAGGAGGAGGAGAATAAATATAAAAGTCAGCTTTAATAAATCCTCCACGTTCTCACTACAGTGAAAGGAGCAAGAGCAGGCAATTTAGAGGGGTTAACATGGACGACTCCTTTGAATCATCTGCTAAAGTATCTCCTGCTATTGGCTAGAACAAACCTGGAGATATTTTTATTAGAAGATCAAGATGAGCATTTCTGCAGAATGTGCTACCTGTCCAATGGCGTTAAAATCAGAATTTGTTCAAGTTTTATATACTACTTCAAAATGCAACCCTGTATGAAGATCTATACACGACTTTACCAGCCCTCCTCTTAATTGAATGTCTCCCTTATTCCAGATGCTGAAAGAAAAATAGAAGTGGAAAGGTAGAAATTTTCCACCACCAAAAAAAGGCAGAAACTGAATAAAAAACAATTTTTTTTTTTTAACTCAGGAATCTTACTCAGGTTTTTGAACCATAGGGAGTGGCATACTACTTCTGTGTTGTTTTGCTTTTTATTTTAGGATGATACCAGTGCAGAAGAAACAATTTATGACATGGTCCTGTTAATGTAGTAAACCTGACTTAAGCATGGTCCAGAAACTGAAGTCGCCCCGTGGCACATTTTGACTGATTAAAAAAAATTGTAGTGTTTGGTGATACATGTTTCTGTCAAGTCATTACTTATACTGAAAAACACCAAACATAGCAGAAACACTTACATGACAGTAAGACTGTTTATCAAAGTGTTATGCAAACTATAAAAAAGAATGTCCACCTATAAATAAAGGGCTTTCAACCCAGCTTGATGATAGAGGAAGAAAGTCAGAAGACAGGGTAAGTGGGTTAAATTAAAAAAAATAATGGTTTGATTACGTAGTGCTTCCCCCACTCTAGTGAACATGCAGCATATAAAGTGTCAAAGTGATAGCACAGTTCTAGTTGGTTGGGTTTTCCCTGAAACATGAATCTGCAGTACACAGATTTATACAGCGTACAACTGCGTGGAACACAAACATTCTGTTCCTTTCCCACAAGCAGTGTAATTTATCCCAGGCCCCATTATCCTAACAGTGGCACTCTGAACTGTGCTTGAACTCCCAGCGGTGACTGCTCTCAACAACGTTTGGCAAATTCAATTTTAACCAAGGGGAAAAAAAAAAACCCAACAAAATCCCCCCAAAAAAAAACATGAAGAGAAGGAGGAAAACAAGTAATATAAGACTCACTGCTTTTAAAATGCTGACAGCTTCTTTACTGAGCCAGACTGGATACAAGACATCATCATGAAGGATGGATTCAAAGAGATCATCCTCGTTGTCAGCTTCAAAGGGGGGTTGCCCAGCCATCATTTCGTACATGAGTACGCCCAGAGCCCACCAGTCTACCGACGGGCCGTATTCTAACTCCTGGAGGATCTAGTACAGAACAAGAGATGGGATTGAGCAGACAAGTTAGACAACACTCTTGGCTGCACGTTTGCTGTTGCGACACGATACACCCCTTCTTTCCCCCAGTCTCTAAGTGGGACTAAAATCCCACACTGATTCTGGTAACAGCAGGCATGGTTTCTTAACCATGCAATTTGCACTACCACAGCTAAGTGTCAATCTGTAGCTGTTCTCAGAATTACTGACTGAGTTTATCAGTCCCCTGAGTAAAAGGGTATGCTCGTGAGCAAAAGAGCCCTATATCCTTCTAAACTGTTTAAAGCAGGTCACGCTATAGGGGAAAAAAACATCACACATACAAAACAGATTGGTGGAAAATGTGAAACATTTCCTTGTCTCTATCTTGAACAAAACAAACTGAACTAGCTTGTAATGCTGCACAGAGATCATCTGAGAGATTTATTCCAGTCCTTTAGGTAGGGCTGAAGGAAGCCAAAAGCAGTTTTGTGCAAGTTCTTTGTGCAGCATTAGAAAGCTCTACAATACATGGCTGTAGGGCTCACTTTAATTGCTCTTGCTTTCAGAAAAACTGGCTATGACTTTTCATGTGGCACAAGTTCAACCTTGTAGCAAATACCTTCAGCGGGCAGTAGTAGGTTAGCACAGTGGAGTTTGATTGTACTATTTGGTGTTACAGAATTAGCGTTGTACAAGGAACAAGTTTAATTCTTGGTTCCTCTTCACTGAAAAGAAGCTTGTAGTTTGGCTGCAATGTTTCAGCCTGACAGGGGACTGGGGAGGGTGAAGTGGGTGCTTCTTTAAGGTGTAGCTCACTGCCTTACAATGACATGGAATGGCAACAACTTCATCATGTCCTTGAACAACACAAGTGTTAAGAGTCTCAGAAACCTTGTGGTGAACCACATGAGTTTACTGCTGGATTCTGGAGCTACGAGCAACATAAAACCAAATTTAGTCTTAACATAAAACCAGAAATGAGTTCAACATTTAAATACAGAGGTCTGGATCTCAACTGAATTCTTAGCTGAATGGATATTACATTTTATAGACACTAGTTAAAGAGAAGGATACTCTTTAAAAGTGTACTTTTCAAGTGTCCTAGGGATTCTTTGGAACTCAGATGTTGCTAAAGAAAAGGAAATTGAAACATACCACCATGATGCAAGAGAAATAGAAGCAGGAGATAAACTTGTGCAATTAAGATGACAAAACGGAAGCCTGAATTACTGACTTCAGTGAGACCAAGATTCACGTAGAAGTTCTTAGAATCTTATTACTGCTTTGTTTTCAATAATAATTTCCAAAGAATTTGCCCAAGGATTCAATCAGTATACTGAATCAGAAAATTATTTATACAAAACCAAGACCATCACACCGGTATTTATTTTCTTTTAATACTCTGTAAGACACACATTTATATTATGCTAGTTTCAAGATGATTCACACCTTATCAGTTGGCTACCAAAGCTTGACAGCCATAAACACTAACAATATAGATTTCTAATTTATTGTCTCTAACCCATAATAATAAACTAGTATTTTTCCATGATGCAAATTTATGGTTGAAGAAAGATAAACCAATGACACTGTTACATTAAATTAGCACAATGAATCTTCCCTGGTAAGAGGCACAGGTTACTAACAAAACTGAGCAGACAAAGTCTGCCTGACTAAATGTACAATATTGATTCATTTTAGGCACTTTGAGATGCATCCCATAATATTAAATGTTAAGATACGTAAACCCCACATGATTCTCAGCCATATTTTTTTTATCCAATGAATGTCCTGAAGTGACTTTTCATGTTGCCAATTGATATGCAGCATCCATATGAGAAGTTTCTATTTTTCCATGCAAGTCTGCACTTTCTGTTCATCTGTATGACAGGAAGTATCACAAACAATTATCTTTCACAGGTACTTTAAAGAAATGAGAAAAATTATAGTACCACAACCATCCTAGGCAAAATGATATCAAATGTATAGTCTCTTCCACACGAAGATGTCCTTCTAAGTCTCATGAAAAATTAAAACCATTTTTATAACTACTAAGGACCAGTGCTGAGAGTATTCAGTTGCTTCTAGCACCTTGAAGGCTAGTAAGTGCCTTTGCAATACTGCTGAGTCAGAAATGAATGTATGGAGGATACTGTTAAGATCAGGAAACAAACAATAAATACCCCATTCTTTGTCACACCTATCAGCATGGAATACTGCTTGTGAGCAGTAGAGCAACCTGGTTCTGCAAGATTACCCAGGCAAAATTACAGCACAGTCCGGTGTGCATCTTCTACATGTAAAAAATGTCAAAACTACACATGTAACAGTCTAATGAATTAGAATATCTGTATATCTTAGTGCAGTGCAAAAAAGTACCTCCGGAGCTATATAGTCAGGTGTGCCACAAAAGGTGGTGGTGGTCACGCCATTCAGAATCCCTTCTTTGCACATTCCAAAGTCAGCCAGTTTACAGTGGCCTTCTGCATCCAGAAGAATATTGTCCAGTTTCAGGTCCCTGAAATAAAAAGGCACAAAATTTAATCAACTCTCAAATTTTGATGATGTGCCCTTGAATTTGATCATAAAACTAGAGAATATAACAAACAGATGGTTTCACAAACACCACTGAGAAACCGTCCCTCACATGTGTACATGTTGGTAGCAGTCACCAAACAGACCTAGTTAAAGGCAATAAGGAAGCAGGCAATGACCAGCATTTTGCAAGACCAGGACTTCACTCTCTCTTCAGCTGCAGGAAAGCCCAGTTGTATTCCAGACAGCATCAGAAACATTTAGAAAAGACCTCATCCCTTGTTTGCTACAAATCTAACATTCTGTCTGTGTGAAATAGGTCAACATAGTCTAATGAAGCTGTTATCTTTTTTTGCATCAGCACAAAGGAGGACCAATTTATCCATACTTTATTATATGGGTTAAATTAATAGATTCTTTCAAACTTGGATTATTTTTAATTGGATTCTTAACATATACCAGCAACTCAGAGCTCAGATTGCAGTGAGAGAGGAAAAAAAGGAATGCTCTCATGTTTGGGAGCATTATTTCCTGCAGTTTAAACCTGCTGAAAATCTCACAGGAATATTTTGTATTCATTGTTAAACACAACACATCTTAGCAGCTGTCTCTGATCACTTGTTGTATAAATGTCTTTGTGTCAAAACCACACAATTCTTCAGTTATTAAATTGGGTGAGGTCAAAAACAGGTTGAGAAAGGGATATCCACCTTTCCTGTCTTTCCTTCTGTATGTTTTCTAAATATACCCTTGATGGTTATTGCATTTTCCAACACAATGGATGCTAGGTGCCATTTAACTTAGCACTTGCCTCAGACTAAGCTACAAAAGGATGTAGAAAGTCAGTGTGTACCCCTCACTTGCATATACCCCTCCCCCCCGGTTTAAAAACATTTTATCACATATGAATAATAAACCAAACATAAACCAAAGGAAAAAACCTCACTTGTATTGCAGGGACCATTTTATTTTCATACTTCTGTCTAGGCTTTAGATACGTCTGCCATGGATTAAAAAACCACAGTAATAAATGAAAGCTTTCTATGTACAAACACATACAGAGGTGAGAATCAAAGTGGAACACACATCCTTAGTTGACTTAGTGGACACTTTCTGATCAGAACTTTTCTCCTAGAATAATCTGAGAAATTTCCATAGATGTAACTGATGAAAAAAGAGGTGTTTCAGCAACTTCTAAATCAGACAGAGGAATAAAACCCCATGGTAACCCATGTAAACAAATTTCACCCCAAAAGTCTATGAAAAGATAAAAGGTTTTTTTTTGCAGAAATCTTTTATGCCAACGAATTCCACCTGAGTGAGGGATGAAAAGTCTTCACCTTACTCTGAGACTTTCTTTCAGATCAATGTCTCCCTATAAGACCCCAAACTTTAGATCCATAAGGCACCATAACATGGTAAAGCATTCACACCTATTAAATGATTGAACAATCTGTCCAAGACTTAGTTAAGAGTTTTTGTGGACATATCCAATGCAGCAGCATGCTGAGATTTCCCCAGAAATGTTCTTTTCTCCCTGTCTGTTCGATTTCTGTAGGGATTTAATTTTTTTTGACACTTGTTCAACATTTTTTGCCCGTCTTTATTTAACACAGATTTCTCAAGCATGTACACAGGACAGCCTAAAAATTCTGATTTTTCTGAGGCACAGCAGAAAAGGTCTACTACTCATGGTCTGCAAAATCCCTGGACATCTGTGTAGTGAATCAGACATTCTGTGGAAGCACAGGATGACTTACTGTGCGTGCAGAGATACGCTGTGCTGAGCGCATGAGATAGTGTTGCTTGTGCATGTACAAGAAGTCTGACATGGCAAAACAGAGTCAGATTTACCTCACTAACAGTAAATCTACTGTCTCCCACATAAACTGGCTTTATCAGAAATGGCTTATGTAGCTGAAGCATATAGGGGCTGTAGAAGTGTTTGTTGTAACCAATATGCCCGACACTAGACTTTGCTATCTCCAGACCTGTTACGCTGCTCTTGTAGATCCTCAGTTGGTCCCCACTGAAGGTCCCTTGAAGCAGACTACTATTTTATCATTCTTTAAGATCATCCTTTTTAGGAGTTCCTAAACAAGCTAAGATCCAGCTGACTACAACACAATCCCCTACATCTAACCATTTAACCCATCTTCCCATCCCTGGAAAGTGATTTACGTGAATTGTCCAATGTCATGTAAGTGCAAACTTATCAACAGCTCTGTGCCCCCAAGAGAAGTCAAATAAACACAATAAAGCTCCCTGCTCCAAAAATCGTGGATCTTCCCAAAACTGCTCTTCCAGTGAATTACAAGTGTTACAATCAAAAGACCTGCATTAAGACAAAACTATCACATCATCAAGTAGAATATGATAAATTACAAGAATAGGATAACGCTATTGCAGATGGGAGAAGGAAATAAGCTTACAGCTGTAGCTTTTAACCTACCAAATGCAGTGTTATCTTGGATGTTTCTAAGCTAAAGAAGAATATCAGCTGTATTTCAAAAAGTCAAGATGTTCAGATGATAAAGAAGTCAAAGTATATTTGATGCAATCTGGGAGCCACTTTCAGTCACCATCACTGTCACAAAGAAGGTTATAACATAAATATTGATGACAGAAACTTAGGAAAGTCAAGAGGCTGCTTAGAAAACTGGATTCACCTTAATTCAGAGTGATAAGTGATTATCAGAAGACTCTAACATGTTATGTATCACAAGTCTTATGAGGAGTGGCTGAGGGAACAGGAGTTTAGATAGACAAAAGGTTGCTCAGGGGAGACCTTATCACTCTCTTCAAGCACCTGAAAGGAGGCTGTAGCAAGGTGGGTGTCCGCCTCCTTTCCCAAGCAAAAAGTGACAGGGTTAAGAGGAGATGGCTTCAAGTTGTGTCAGGGGAGGTTTAGATTGGATATTAGGAAATATTTCTCCACTGAAAGGGTTGTAAAGCCCTGGAACAGGCTGCCCAGGGAAGTGGTTGAGTCACCATCCATGGAGGTATTTAAAAGACATGTAGATGTGGTGCCTGTCGACATGGTTTAGTGGTGGACTTGACAGTGTTAGGTTTATGGCTGGACTTGATCTTAAAGGTCTTTTCTAACCTAAATGGTTGTGTGATTCTGTGAATCTATCTTAACTCTGATCCCAGAAGTAGGACTTCCCACTGCAGGCAGGTGACATACTGGACTTATTAAGACTTAAAATTGTTTCATTTAGTGCCACCCATATGCTCTCCATGGAATTGAATGGAGATAGTAACCAAAGTCAGTAACCCAAGGAACTCCTAAGCTAAGAGAAATGTCAACAGTAATAAAACACTAATAGCAAGTCACTACAGAATGGAAAAGGACTGGATACTCACCTTTGTCTTTTATTTCCTTAAAAATTTGTATAAGACACAGAAATTAGCAATAAAAATGTAACTTGGCAGTGGGAAAAAAAGAAAGAACTGAGCAGTAAGAAAACCAGGAATAGTCTGAATATTAAGCTCTGACTACCTGTAAAGACTGACAGAAAGAAATTTTAAGCCTATCTGTAAAAGTGCAAGTCAATTTAACTTCCCTTACCATTTACCAAACTATAATCCTACTTGACAGAAGAAAAACATCTGGGACTCCTTCATCAAGCCAAAACAAAGCAGTGAAGCCTGTAAGCCTCTTCAAAACTCTATCGGAGGCACTGAGCATATCAGTTTAATTACTCACGCAATAATGGAACTGAGTATCAGGAGATTTTTATTATCACAGAGAGCACCATAGTTTAAAAATAATTTGGAAGAGGCTAAAACAACAGCAGCGTGACACCCGTTAAAGTATGGATGGGAGGTTAAAAGGTAAGCTGGGAGTCTGCCAAATTGTCAAGTGCATAGATAGCCTGCAAGATTATCATAGTCCATAAAAAAGCTTGCACTGAAAAGCATTCAAAATCATTCTGTCAATTTAGAGTTGCCGGATTAAAAAAATGAAATGATGACAAATGAAAACATCACCACCAAAAGAAAGAATAAAACCCACACAAACAAAAGAAAAAACCAAAACACATAGAAAATGCACCAAACAAGAAACTCCACCAAAAACTCCTAATAATGCAACTTTAGAAAATTAAATCTTAGTTAAATAAATAAATGGAATTGAATAGGTGATGTGTTACTTAACACCTCACAGGAAAAAAAAAACTAGAATCAAGCAGACAGATGAGGAAACAAATTAAAAACTGATAGAGAAGGAGCTGTCAAGAAAGCTTGTCTTTCCAGAGCAGCAATCTCACTGAAAAAGCCCTTTAAATTTTAAGACCTGTTATGTTCCCAGAACTGGTCTAAGAAACAGCCAGCTCTCCTACATCTCAAAAAGTAAACTAAAATGCTATCGACCTCTAGAATGCAAATTAATTCTCTGTACAGAACGATCCAATCTGATCCATTCTGCCTTTTATTTGGCTTCTGGTATTAGTGCCAGTTGTCCACCTCTAAATCAGAGCATACCAAATAATAGTGTCAGATAGCTCAGTGACAAAGGTCTATTAGATTCTTCTTTCTCATTTTGCATTCTCTTTGTAGGAACTAAGAAAGTCATCTGTGTCTGGCAAAATGAGTTCCCACAACCTGAGTAATTACATGCAACTGCAAACAACCTAACCAGTTAAGCCAGGAAAATGCCCAGCTTGCTTGAATGCAGTAATGCTACATTAAGCTATTTCTCTCCTTTGTTTGTTTGCCAACATACAGTCAGTTCAGTTGACTTGAGCAATCAATTGCATCAAATGTTTTGTTTGGTTTTTAATTTTTTTTTTTTTCTTTGTCAGAAAGCTTTAAACAGAAATTTAAGCCTTGGTTTCTATTTCTGGATACCTGCCAGCATCACAATCACCTCAATAGCTGGAATGATTGGCAGAATCTCAAGGAAGAATCAGGATTATAACAATAAGGTCTGTGCAAGTCGGAACAGAGGAGCGGGCGAACTGCAGGTAACCTGCAAGAAAA